TCTAACGGCATATATAAATATAAATAATATATATTATTCTTTAGATTCAGATGTGTATAACTGAATCACCGTTCTGCACACCCGAAAGTAACACAATGTTGTAAATCAACTATTCCTCAAAAAAAATCCAAAAAATATTTGATCTATCCAACATGCATGCATGCTAAGTTGCTTCAGTCATATCTGACTCTTTGGGACTCTATGGACCATAACCTGCCAGGCGGCTCTATCCCTGGAATTCTCCAGATAAGAATACTAGAGTGGGTTGCCATGCCCTCCTTCAGGAATTCTTCCCAGCCCAGGGATCGGGAAGTTCTGTCTACTGTCTCCTGCATTAGCAGGAGGGTTCTTTACCATGAGTGCCACCTGGGAACCACCCAATCTATCCAAACCTTTTTTTTTTTAATGAATGAAGATACGCAAACAGAGCCCATTGGGATTATTGGAAACTGATGCACAGTGAACTGTGACCCCTGAAGGAGAATAAAAAAACAAGAATAGAAGGTTAAAAGTGAAATTTGAAGGAATAATGAGCGGTGGGTGAAGTCTGTTATGTTTGTGTTTAGTTTGGTGGTTAATCTGAATCCAGGTTTGTTGCTGCTGGTTGATCAGAGTACATGTTGCCATACACTGTCTTAATTTTGGGGTGACTAATGAGATACCATAAGATAACTAGCACAGTAACTAACATGTTTAATCCTAAAAACATCAACTTGTTTGATGTTGGCCTACATGTTTTCCACTTATTCTTAGAGCTATCACATTTGTCAAATCCAAAGTTACAAACTTATTGGGAAGGAGAGGGTGGGATGAATTGAGAGTGTGGCACTGAAACACATACATTACCGTATGTGAAATTAGACAGCCACTGGAAATTACTGCATGATGCAGGAAGCTCAAATCTGGTGCTCTGGGATAACCTAGAGGGACGGGATGGGGTGGGAGGGAGACTCAAGAGAGAGGGTACATATGTACACCTATGTTTCATTCATATTGATAAATGGCAAAACCAAGATAATATTGTAAACCAATTATCCTCCAATTAAAAATAAATTTAAAAAATGAAGTTACAAACTCATTGGACAAATGCAAATACTGAGCAAATATCTGTGTTCTCTTCAAAATATTGCATATATATCTATTAAGAAGCGTGTTCAATATTCACATGCAAATTCAAGATAAGTGACTTCAAAGCCACACACAATCATTTAGAATAGTTTCATTCGGTGAAGGTGCAGAAAATGCAGAATGGGTCCAAGTAAATGACATGTGATATACCTCTTGCTGCGATCGCACTGTTTTAATATATAAACTTGCTTCATTTTTTTTGAAAATGTGCCCCCAGACAATTTACACATTTTCCCCAAGCACACACACACACCAAAGGGTTAGATATCTAACATCCTGGAATTGCTGGCAATGGTGGAAAGGGAAATTGCAGGTAAAGGGGAATAAGCAGATCAATAAAATAAGATGTGCCCGCACAGGCCAGTGATGGCTGTGGGCTGTGACCTGGAGACCATCTTTAACGCTTTTTCTGAGGTCCAGTAAAGGGAAAAGATTCTCACCTTGTACCTGCTCCCTGGAGGCTTCCAATACTGCCTGTTTACTATGCATCCTGCTGGGGTGGGCAAAGCTTAAACATACGCAAACAGATACACATGCTCCCCCAACACCACACGCATGCTCACTTTTCGTACAAAGGGAAGCATGGGTGAAGTTATGCTGCTTGGTCTGTTGCTTGTTTCTTGTTTCCCAGTCAAGTTTTGATGGTGAGATTGGAAGAACTGGGGCATGGGACAGGGTTTTCACCATATGGGGGAAAAAAATCTGGGAGGATAAATCCAAGATGCAGATATCCACCCTTGATCTTCCTGGAGCATTACGAATCTCCATCCAATCCTCACTTTGCTTCAGCTATGTCATAGTGAGTTTCTGTTATGTGTAACTGATGAATCCTGACCAATGCATTCAAATGCCACTTGGATCATACATTAGATTTCCAAATGCTTGAGTCTCTTCTCTAGACTTGTGTTTTGTTCTAATGCTCTGTCTCTTTATAACATGGTTGGAATATTTAGAATATTTTTTATATCTAGTCGACAAGTCTCCTGTCCATAACCTTCATTTTCAGAATTTTATTTGCTTTTCTTTTGTATGATACAATCTCCAGGGTGAACTACATAGCATACTTTTTCTGCTTTAGAAAAATCAGGGTAGGGAAAAAAAAAATCAGGGTAGGAAATTTCCTAGAGGTCCGGTGGTTAGGACTCTGCCCTTCCATGGTAGGGGCCATGGGTTGGATTCCTGGTTGGGGAACCAAGATCCCACAAGCCACATGGAGTGACAAAAAAAAAAAAAAAAAAAGTGTACTCTGAGGTTGTGTTACATTTAGAGGTTGGTTTAGAGAGAATTGTCATCTTTCAATGTGGAGTCCTCCTAGCCAAGCACAAGGAGGGTTTTTTGTTTTTTTTTAGTCCAATTTTCCGTTCTGTATTTCAGTAAAGGTACAGTTTTCATCTAATAAAAGCCTGTGCTTGTTACATTTGTTCTTAAATATTTTATAACTTTTCTTTTTGTTGTGGTTTGTATCTTTTTCCAGTTTTACTATATAAGAGGTTAGTGTTAGTGTTGATACATGTGCTGTAAACTGAGTGCCTTTAGTCTGTACCCAGCCATCAGGTGGTTTTTAGGGTTGGTCTAATTATTGACAGTAAACAATCTGCTTGCAATGCAGAAGACCCTGGTCCGGGAAGATCCCCTGGAGAAGGGAATGGCACCCCACTCCAGTATTCTTGTCTGGAGAATTCCATGGACTTCTATGTCCATGGGATCGCAAAGAGCCGGACACGACTGAGCGACTAACACACCAATTATTGCAAGAAATATGTGTGTGTGGGCTCAATTGCTCAGTCATGTCTGACTCCTTGCAACCCCAAGGACTGTAGCCCGCCAGGCTCCCCTGTCCATGGAATTTTCCAGGCAAGAATACTGGAGTGGGTTGCCATGCCCTTCTCCAGGGGATCTTCCCAACCCGGGGATCGAACCCGTGTCTCTTAAATCTCCTGCATTGGCAGGCAGGTTCTTTACCACTAGTGACACCAAGAAATATAGACCCCCTGGAAGTAATCAAGGTGTGTATGTGGGAGGGTAGGAAACTGAGTGGTGGCTGAGGGGAATCCAGGCCAAGCACAGAGGCATGGGCCTGGGAGGCTGGTGAGAGAGAACCCAGCTCGGCCACCTGGCTCCTCCCACCATTCCTGGTTACCATTTCAGCTCCAAAGTGGTCCAGCTGCCGCTCCGTGGCCACCCCCAACATGCTTCCTCTGCAGCATCTGTCACCAGTGGCTGTTTCCATGTGGTTCTTTCCTCACAGTCCTGAGGGAAGAAATCCAGTGGCCTTGCCTCCCTTTCTGTGTCCTGCATGCGCCCTGCCTTTCTGCGTGTTCCTCCCATGTTCAGTGCCACGTAGCTGGGAGAATGGGGCCATTTGGAATTTTAAAATCACACACGACATGCTCACTGAGCTTTTGACCCTTGGCAGAAACGTTAGGACTTCCCCGGTGGAGCTAGTGGTAAAGAATCCACCTGCCAACGCAGGAGATGCCAGAGCGTCTGTCTGTGCCTGTCTCTTTCCAGGCACAGAGCAGACAGAGGTCCCCACGGTCAGCAGAGAGCTCAGTGGCGCCAGAGAGGGCAGGGAGCGCAGAGGTTAGGAGCAGGGGTTCTGGGGACTTCCCTGTGGTCCTGTGGTTAGGACTAGCGCTGCCACGGCAGAGGGCACCAGTCCGATCTCCAGTGTGGGAACTAAGATCCTGCATGCCCTGTGGCCCCCAGCACTGCCAAAAATAAAAAAGGAGTGATTCTGGAGCCAGAGCAGAGTTCCAGGAGCCTGGTGACCTCAAATGAAGGATGCTTTCCTGTACCTCAGTTTCCTCCTCCATAGATGGAGGGATTAAAAACATAATGTAGTATAATGTAGTTTAGTTGTATATAACTTAATGTGTACTATTGTATCCATTATACACATGTAACTATGATATGAAATATAAAACTATATAGTAATGTAGCATATTGTTGTGTGTGCTCAGTCATATCTGACTCTTTGTGGCCCCACGGACTGTAGCCTGCCAGGCTCCTCCATCCATGGAATTTTCCAGGCGAGAATACTGGAGCCGGTTGCCATGCTCTTCTCCAGGGGATCTTCCCAATGCAGGGATCGAACCAGAGTCTCTTGCATCTCCTGCTTTGGCACATGGGAGGCCCTAAATAAAACACATTAGTAGATATTAATCTATATAACAAAATATAGTATAGCATAATAAATTATATAATCGGTAATATATTACTTTATATATATGTAATTATAGCATGTGAAATGTTATATAAGTATGTAGTAATATAAAAACATAACCATGACTAATCGGTAATAAAATAAAATTTATAATGCATAGCATAACAAATTATATATAATTTAATAGATAATGTGTAAATTCACATATATGTGTAATTATAAGCTATGTTATATAAATATATGTAGTAACAACACATTTTTAATCTATAATATCATATGACACAAACAGAATTTAAAGCCTCTTACAATTGTCAAAAGTATTGAAGTATTTTGACAAGGCCTAGCCCATAATAAACATTAAGTAAGTATAAAATTTTATTGCTATAGTTGTATAGTTTATGAGTAGCAAAGAATTAAACAGTGCCTGGCCCAGGGTAACTACTCCATAGATGTCATCTTTTATTGGTATGTAGTAGGTGAGTATTAAAACACAGTGCCCAGTGCTCGAGTTAATTTTATACTATAGCACACTTAGCAAGCTTTCTTTGGGATTTTCTTAGGTCATACAATCATATCATCCACACATAATGAGAATGTTACCTTCTACTTTCTTGTGTATTTAACTCCATTTGTTATTATTATTTTGTCCAATTGTTCTAGCAGTTTTTCAGAACAAAATTAAATAACAGTGATGAGAACAGAAATTTGTTGTTGTTCCTGACTTCAAAAATGTTGAGTATTGCTGGCTGTTGGATCCATTCTCACTACCAGTGATGTTAAGGAAGTGTCCTTTTATTACTATTCTGCCAAGGCCTTTTAAAAAAAACAACGAACCAGGAAGAGACCTAATGCCCTCAAAAGCCTTTTCAATTCCCACTGAGTTACTGAAGGGTCTTCTCCTTTGTTCTATTAACTCGAGAAACATACTGACTGATTTGTGATGCTCATCCTTTGCCTTCTGTCCCTAAACCCCACTTTCTGTGGTCTGTATCCTATTACCACGATTCAATTTATCTCTTAATTTGTAAAGAGGTGCATCAAGCATCAGGGTCAGGAGACAAAGGATCAGTATCATATGGGGGAAGAACTAAATCAGGCAGACACAAACCCAAGGTAATAAGATTCCTCAGATGGTACCAACTGGTGGAACCAGCTTTGATGAACCTAAAGTCACAATGGAATGCAGAGGAAAACTGTCAGAATTGCTTATTTTGAGGATAAGGGCAGAAATTGACTCCTGAAACTCACCTGAATTTAAAATCTTACAGTAAAGGTTTGAGTTGCAGCAGACCCACTGAATCAAGCCTGGAAAAGCTCTTATCATGGTCATATGTGAGGATGAATTAATTCTGTGTCTGAATTTAAAACTCCTAATTGGGGGGAAAAAGTGACATTTGTTTAATTTTTCTCTTCAGTATGTAGATGTAAAACAAATCCTCTTTTATGTAGAAAGAACAGTTTTACTTTGAAGACACTATGGATTTCATCAAGGGCTGAATCTTGATCGATTGAACTCATCACAGGCACACACCAGGGACCTCATTGTGTCTCTACTACTATTATTACTACTACTTAATAAAGTAAAAGCCATAAGGCAAAGGGTAAGCTACTACTACAACTTCAATTTATTGCTGAAACTATTATAAGAATATTTGAACCTCTATATGAAGAAAATGGAGATGTTTATAGTTGCAGAGAGAAGCAATTATGGAATTCTTTATGGGGTGATTTGTCAATGGATTGTATGATCAGTTACAATTTTATGGGTAAAGGTTTAATGCTTTGTTATCATGTACTGTCATTTGAATTTAACCTGGATTATCTCCTGGTTTTTAGATTTTCCAGTTACTAATTAAAGAAAGGTCCCTTCTCCTTTGCAACGTGTGTTCATTTCTGCAATATGTATTCATTGGATTCTGGTTCCTAGAGACAAGTAAGAATTATTCCAGCTACTTCAGTGATAATAATTTTTTTTTTTTTGAGAAGGAGAGAAAACTTGAATTTCTCCTTAAAACTTATTGCACCAGTTTGATTTCCCCCTTACCTTTTTACCATTTTTTTCTTTAGGAGCTTCTATTTCTCTGATTTACAGCTTTTTAGTGGCCAGTCTATTTGCAATTTGGTACTAAAAAAATTTTTTTGGCTTGAAATTAAGGGGAAAATGCATCATCACATCACCTGAATGAAACTACATTAAAGGGTTCATCAAACTTAAAGAACCTAAGGCATTAGAATCTTGAGAGCCATGAGAAAGATTTTGGTAGGTAGGGTCAGGGAGGTCTTACATTCACCTTCTTATTATTGAAAGAACCACCGTGATGATCTCATTAATTTCAAGAGACAATTGATGGAAAGGCCCTCCTGTTTCTCCAGGTGTTTCGTTTTCAAACTCTTCATGACTTAGAATGACAGGTGCTCTTCTGGGCTGTATGGTCAAGGCCATTGATTCCAGATTCTTAAATGGGAGTATTTCTTTCTTTCACTCTCTTCCTAAACCTACTCCCAAGTCTGACCTCCCAGCCAGACTTGTGGCTCTCAGTTTGTATTTCTTACTTTAGAGAGGAAGGAATCTGGGATGCAAGGCTAGAGACCACCTACATAGCAAGACTCGAAGTCCCTAATTACAAAACCACATTTGTGTCTCAAAATGTGTGCTCTAAAGACATGGAGGGCATCCAGACTTCCTTGGGGTTGTGCTCAGCAGCTTGAGCTCCTTGCTCATCATTTGGTCCAGCACAGGTCCACAGGGTGAATCAGTGATGGGGAAAGGATTTCCTGGACGGCACATTGACTTCCCAGGTGGAGCAGTGGTAAAGACTCCACCTGCTAATGCAGGAGAGGCAAGAGACTTGGGTTCAATCCCTAGGTCGGGGAGATCCCCCGGAGAAGGAAATGGCAACCCCACTCCAGTATTCTTGCCTGGAGAGTTCCATGGACAGAGGAGCCTGGTGGGCTACAGTCCATGGGGTCACATAGAGTTGGATGCGATTGAGTACTGCACATCACATATTGACTGTCTTTCAGCAACATCACTGATTTATTTCCAATCCAACAAATTTGGGTCTTACTTAGGTCAGAGTTTAAAACCACAGGCTCTGGAGCCTGATTACCTGGATCTGAATCCCAGCACTGCCCCTTGTGGCTGCTTGATTGTAGACCAAGGAAGTTGTTCAGCTTCTGGTTGTCGGGTTCCTTGTCTGTGAAACACGGATGATAATAGCCCTTGGGTTATTCCTTGTAAAGCACTAGACAAGGTCAAGCAGGTAGTGGGCACTGAGTAACACCGTGGCTCTTACTTTTATTGTTAATTTACTTTAGCAAGTCTCTCATGGACCACTGATGTGATTACATGTAATTCTTATTTTTTTTCCATAAACTTATTTATTTTTGGCTGCACTGAGTCTTCCTTGCTGTGAGGTGGCTCTCTCAAGCAGTGGAGAATGGGTGCTACTCTCTAGCTGCGATGCATGGGCTTCTCATTGCAGTGGCTTCTCTTGCTCCTGACTATGGGCTCTATCTAGAGCACGCAGGCTCAGTTGTTGTGGCTCATGGGTTTAGTTGCTCCACGGCATGTTGGACCTTTGTGGACCAGGGATTAAATCCATGTCCCTTGCACTGGCAGGCAGATTTTTAACCACTGGACCACCAGGGAAGTCCTAATTCTTGTTTATAATTATTTGCAATGACCACTCATTACCCTGGAAGTTAAAAAAAAATAAAGTTTAATCTTGATATTTAGGATTTTTCTTTCTTTTTTCTTGTTTTTAAAATATTGATACAAAATGAGCACATAAAGAATTAGATGGGGGTGTCAGGTACAACATGATGACTATTGTTAATAAGATTATTGTCTATTTGAAAGTTGCTAAGAGAGACCTTGAAAGTTCTCATCACAAAATTTTTTAACTGTGTGGTGATGGATGGATGTTAAATTTATTGTGGTGATCATTTTAATAAATAAGTCAAATCATTATGTTGCACACCTGAAGCAGATATAATATTGTATGTCAATTATGTCTCAATTTTAAAAATTAGAATAATTAATGAGCCCTCCAGGACTCATCTTTCAGGTTCAACCAGGATGGACTCAAAGCTAATCTTGTTTGGCCTCTGTCCGATACCAGTGATGTCCTGGAACTGACTTGTTCTGCCTGCCAAGACCCAGTTCCATGTTCTGTTCCAAGACCCAAGATTCTCTTCCCAATTCTGTGTTCAATGACACACTGCTGGGAGTTTGCAGCCAACCATGGTGGGAGTATTTACATCATGGAAATTGGCAAATGCTACAAATCAAGCCTTCTCCCCTGTTCCCACTTCTGTGCTGGAAGAGCCTGTTGTTGAGGAATTACCAGACACCTGCTGCTACAACTCCCACCCCCACCCCATTAGATTCTTTTGGAACATCATATTATTTTGTTTCAGTTTGTACATCTAAAATATTACAGTTCCTTTAAAAATAAAACCATAATTCCCTTGTCACATACTAAAAAGTTAACACTAATTTTTAAAATATTGTCAAACATCCACATGTTCAAATTTCCCTGATAATTTCGTTACTTTTTATATTTCTAGTTTTACTTTTTTCATAATTGTTGTTTTGTTCAAATAAGAATTCCAAATAGGTCTGAACTGCAGGGTGGCAAAATCTAAATTAGAGAAAGCTCTAGAGGACAAATAACCCTTTTCCTTCCACAACTAAATAAATTGTGATAAGAGTTGTTTAAAAAAGAAAAAGGAAGAGAGGGAGAAAGCTATGAATTAGGCAAAATTTCATAGTTTTATATGAGGGAGAATGGATACATGTATGTATGTGGCTGAGTCCCTTTGACCTCCACCGTAACTATCACCGTATTGTTAATCGGCTACGTGTATGCGTGTGTTAGTTGCTCAGTCATGTCCGACCCTATCCAGCCCCACAGACTGTAGCCCACCAGGCTTCTCTGTCCATGGGATTCTCCAGGCAAGAATACTGGAGTGGATTACACTGCCCTCGTCCAGGGGATCTTCCCGACCCAGGGGTCAAAACCAGGTCTCCTGCATTGCAAGCGGGCTATTTACCATCTGAACCACAAGGGAAGCCCTATGCTCCAATATAAAATAAAAAAAGTCATATAAATGAAATACAACATATGAGTCCTATCCAAGCAGTAGATTCCCATGTTTTCTCCTAAAAATTCTGTTATTTTACCTTTCACATGCTAATTGATTTTACCCATCTTTATTGAGGTATAATAGATAATGGAAGGACTTCCCTGGTAGCTCAGCTGGTAAAGAATCTGCCTACATACAGAGCGAAGTAAGCAGAAAGATAAAGACCATTACAGTATACTAACACATATATATGGACTTTAGAAAGATGGTAACGATAACCCTATATGCAAAACAGAAAAAGAGACTCAGATGTATAGAACAGACTTGTGGACTCTGGGAGAAGGTGAGGGTGGGATGTTTCAAGAGAACAGCATTGAAACATGTATATTATCTAGGGTGAAACAGATCACCAGCCCAGGCTGGGTACATGAGACAAGTGCTCGGGCCTGGTGCACTGGGAAGACCCAGAGGGATCGGGTGGAGAGGGAGGTGGGAGGGGGGACTGGGATGGGGAATACATGTAAATCCATGGCTAATTCATTTCAATGTATGACAAAAACTACTGTAATGATGTAAAGTAATTAGCCTCCAACTAATAAATGGGAAAAAAAAATAAAAAAATAAAATAAAATCAACCAAGAAAAAAAAAATAAATAAAAATAAAAACACTGAAAAAAAAAAAAAAAAAGAATCTGCCTACAATACAAGAGCCCCTGGTTCAATTCCTGGGTCGGGAAGATCCCCTGGAGAAGGGATAGGCCACCCACTCCAGTATTTTTGGGCTTCCTTGGTGGCTCAGCCAGAAAAGAATCCGCCTGCAATGCAGGAGACCTGGGTTCGATCCCTGGGTTGGGAAGTTTCTACAACAGCTACCCACTCCAGTATTCTGGCCTGGAGAATTCCATGGACTATGGAAAATGTATGTATTTAGCTTGTACAATTTGGTGTTTTGGTATATGTATACATTGTGAAACTATCACCATAATCAAGTTCATTAACATATTCATCATGTCACATGGTTATGATTTTCTTTTCTGTTTTTTCTTTGTAGTGAGAACACTTAGGGGCCACTCTCCTAGCAAATTTAAAGCACAATGCAGTATTAACTACAGTCATATTGTGTACATCAGATCCCCAAACTTATTCATTTGCATAGCTGAAACTTTACCTCCTAAATTATCCCTCCCCTCCCCTGCATAACCCCAACCCCTGGCAACCATCAGTCCTAACCCTCTGCTTCTGGGAGTTTCACTCTGTTAGATCCCACACATATGGAAGA